GGTGCAGTGGGGCCGGGGGAGAGGTAGGCCAAGCATTGTGGCATATGCCATTATTCTCAGGACTCAGGAGGCAAAGTCAGACGGATCTCAGAATTTGACACCAGCTGTCTACATGGTAAGTTCTTTGACCAGCAAGAGCTACATACATCGTGAGACCCAGTGTCAAAACAAACCAAAGCCAGAAACCAGAGAGAAAGAAGAATAGTAGTGGTGGGGACATTAGATAGAGCACCAGTTCAGATCCTTCATCTAGGGATATTATGAGTCTCAGAAAAGAATACAGAAATAAGAAAATTGAAAACAAATTCAAGAAAATGAATTTATCAAGTCTCAATTTGTGATGGATATAAGTTTCAGAAAACTGAGGACAAAAGAAAAAAATCAAGGAATTTTGATACAGTAATAGGAAGTAAAATGAAGTGAGTTTGGTTTTTGTTTGTTTTGTGTTTTTGGTTTTCAAGACAGGGTTTCTCTGTGGCTTTGGAGGCTGTCCTGGAGCTAGCTCTTGTAGGTCAGACTGGTCTTGAACTCACAGAGGTCCATCTGCCTCTGCCTCCCCAGTGCTGGGATTAAAGGGATGCACCACCACCACCTGGCTAAAAAAAGAAACATTTTTCAGGAAATGAAAGCAGCCATAAAATTTCATATAGTTCAGCAATCAATAGTATTATAATAAAATACAGTAAGTGCTGAATGCTAATCTAACAAAAATAGGAAAATTGGGGCAGGGTTTCTCTGTGGCTTTGGAGGCTGTCCTGGAGCTAGCTCTTGTAGGTCAGACTGGTAGCTAAGAAGCTTACACCCTGATGTCAGAGCATTAAGTCACTTCTCCACACAGAAACCACTTGTCTTCTCTTCATCCTGCTTGCCTGACCTGACTCCACCTCTACCCTTATTCCCAGAATTCCCGCTGCCCCATGAAAACAGCTCAGCTCTTTCTCTCTTCTGACATCCTGCCTCTGCCCAAAGGCCTCCTGCTCCTGTCCATCTGTTGTTTTTACATTCCAAGTCTTCTTAGCTTTTTTCCAGGGTCATTCTTGTTTTGTTTGCAATTGTTCCCCCCCCCCCCACCTTGGGGTCGTTCCCTGGGAAGAGAACAGCCCCGAGTTTCCAAAGCAGGCAGTTTTTAATGTCTTTTTGGTCACTAGGCAGGAGTGTGACAACATATTGATTGGCTATAACATACATGAGTCATTTACTGATTCGTTGGGAACTGAACTTACAATTTTGCCTACGAGGAGTTTGGAATGTTATTTTGGTTTTTACACCTGCAAGGCCATGGGACAGGTAGTGTTTTTTCTGGGAACAGAGTGACTTATACTTATTTCCAAAACATAGGTGCTCTGGAGCAGGGTAACCCATAACAATTTTTAGAAACCAGACAGTTGTTGAAGATAGTAGAAACTAGTAATAATAACAATTTCCAGAGACTGGTCATCATGACCAACCATTTCATGTGTTCTTGTCCCCAGAGCTGTGTGTGGCCAGAGTGATTTTTAAATACATTCTGGTAGGTATCAGGCTAGGCTTGAGTTGGGGTCTTTCATACTCACACTCCATGCTGTTATCAGTGCTGTGGAGTGGACTACTTATTACAAGGGTTTCCTATAAACCTAACTTTCTTCATCTCTCCACATGACAATCTTCTGTAAAGACAGAAATCTTATTTTTGCATACTGGGAAGACAAGTAAAATGAAAAATCATTGTGACATTATTGCATATTATTTAGAGATACAGAGATAGAAAATGATAATCAGACAAAAAGAGTTGTTGCCAAGATGAAGTAGGAAATGCGGAAGAAAAGCAGAGAACTATTGCCGTTTTAAACCTTGTAGAGCTGTTTGACTCAATAGGATATAAATATGTATTACCTTGATAAAATAAAGACTAAATTAGGTCAGGTGGTGGTGGTGCATTCCCTTAATCCCAGCACTCAGGAGACAGAGGCAGGTAGATTTCTGAGTTCAAGGCCAGCCTGGTCTACAGACAAGTTCCAGGACAGCCAAAACTAAATTAAGAGCAAAGTAAAGATTGTGTTTTCACATCAGAAACCTGGGTTTATTCATTCCTTTCATTTTCTAATTCTGTGACTTAGATAATTTATGTACCCTTTTGAAGTACCAGAATACCAGAATACATGTGTTCCTGCTACAGAAAGCTAGTAAGACAGGTGATTTATAGGAAGCATCTGGCAAATACATGTCCACTTTAGTCCTTGCAGCGTCCCTTGAGGAATAGGAAACACTTGTGCAGCCTGATATTTCTTGTGCCATTGTCTTAGGTTTAGAAGACTGCTTTTTACTTTCCTCATTGTTGTGATGCAAATTAAGCAGGACAGAAATTTCCCTGGTCCATGCCTTTATATCTTAGATTTTAAAGACATGCCATTAGGATCATGTCCTCAGTTACCTACAGAGAGTTTGAAAATTTAGTTGGATTTGGAATGATTATGTATTGATAAGGGAAACACCAAATAAAAAGGATCATTGTTGCTTGGTGAAAGAAGCACAGACGTTACACTCAACTTTCTCCACAAGAATGCCATAATAATGAAACATGAAAATTTCATAGAACTAGGGTCAGTAAAGTGCTGTTGTTTTGAGCCATCAGCCAAAACATCAAAATACTTGTTTTTTTTTTTTTATTGGAAAAAACTTTACTTTAGCAGCTGCTGTTTTAGCTTCCATATTCTGTATTATTCAGCAACGGTTCAGAAAGCAGATCATGTATAGAGGTACATTTTTTGAAATCCATCTTCCTCCACTGGTGCATGTGTACAGTGTTATCCCAGCTATGACATGACTAACTCATGGCAGTGACTTAAAATGTGTCACATTTTCCCTTACACAGAACTATCATCTAAGAAGTCTTGTATACAATTTGCTGATTGTGTTGCTTGATGATTCTAATGTATTACCAGAAATAGCCTATATCATAACCACATCCCAAACATTTTTAAATGGGAGATGAATGAAGGCCACAGAAAGGTCCGTAGAGAGATATCTAAACATACAAACTCTCTCAGAGACAGTATGTTTTTTATGCACATTGTAATCTAGCCTTGTTGGTAATCAGTTTTCTGTCATTTAACTTTTTTTTTTTTTAGTTATAAATGGTTTAGAAGATAGTCAATACTTCATCACAGTAGGATAGCACAAAAATGCTAAAATTTATTAGATAAGAATCTTCATATTTAAGAAAAGCTGGTAAAAAGTTGGGTAATTGTGGCATAGATGGAGATCTGGAAAATTGTCAGGCTACTCAGGATTTGGGGCAGATGAAGCTTATCAGAAATATTCAGCAGTTGTAATGAGAGTATGTTACACAGCATAAAAATATTGAATCTAGATTTAAATGTACATTGTACATTTAGAGTCACACCCTAAACATCTTGGGAATGACTGGAAATAGAGATTTGGAGAGCTCTGAAACCTTATTTACTTTCTCATTGGAATTCTCACAGTTGCTTCTAGTAAAACAAGTTGTGACTTGCAACCATTTGCCCAACAGCCTCTTGGTGTCTTCAGGGAAATTAAACAGTGAGGTATGAAGAGCTATGCCAGTGGTTAAGAGCATGCAGGTTATGGCTTTATAATTATGAGGCCTTTGCCTCTTCCTATTTATCGATGTGATATTCTCAAGGCTAAGTGCTGCTCAGCAGTTATAAACTTATGATTTAATGGGAAAATGGGCCTTTTTGAGAAAAGCTCTATTTCCTGAAATTTCACTCTCTTTCTACAGAAGAGCTCGCTGTCTTCTTATTCTCCCTTTTGTTCTGCTGCAGTAAGTGACTCAGGATGCTGGAAAGGGAGGCTAATCTGCTGACTCCTAAGATTTTAAGTACTAGTTTAGAAACAGTTTTCCTTTCTTTATCTTGTACAGCCTATGACATTTCTTATATTGCTCTCCTATATTTAGAAGATCTTTTAAAAGATTGCTGAAAATGTTTTTCAAAGTTTTCATGTTTTGTTTTTTTTCTTATTTATTTATTTATTTATTTATTTATTTATTTATTTATTTATTTATTTATTTATTTATTTATTGAGAAAGTTCACTGTGTAGCCAAGCTGTCCTGGAACCTGCTCTGCAGACCAGGCTTTCCTGGAACTCACAGAGATCTGCCTGTCTCTGCTTCCTGAGTTAAAGGTGTATGCAGCATGGCCTGTCATATTGAAATCTTAACATAAATACAAAGTACTACTTTTGAAAAAAATTATAGTTATAATTTATGGTCAAATTTGATAGAATAGAAAGATATTTTTAAAAGTCATGTGCTCAAGGGCTAAGGAGATGGCTCAGTGGGTAAGAGTACTTGTTGAACTAGCACAAGGACCTGCACTAGGTCTCCTGCACTTATGTAAGCAGGCCAGGCATACTTCCATTTAGGGGCATTGTTAGCGCTAACTAGCTGAAATAGTAAGTGTCTAGTTCAGTGTCAAGGGGAGAAAGTAGAGAGCAATCAAGCAGACATCCAACATTTACATCCAATCTGTACATGGCCACCTGAACATGCAAGTACACACATAAAAAATAAAATAAGGCATGTACTCAAGCACTTTGCCAGAGATTTATTTTTCATGTTGTTTAACTGTGTAAAGATTAACTGCATTGCTACCTGTTTTGTTAATAATCTCTTTTTAGAAAATCATAGAATTATGTTGCACTGAAAGTTTTATTCATTTCCTAGATTTTCTTCTATCGTCTTATAGATAAATAAGTAGGCCTGTTTGTTTTGTTTGTTTGTTTGTTTGTTTGTTTGTTTATATGAGCTTTGGTGGTAACTCTAAATCACAGTGCAGGGGTATTTCCATGCTTTATGAAATCAATTCTTCAGCCATCTTACAATGAATGGTGGAACTAACAGTTAAGGAGGATTCATGTACAGTTTGAAGGGCACATAGATGCTGCTAACGACACTTTAGAAATGTCCCTGGTGACTGTGACCTCTTTATGTTTCATATGACAAACTATTTGTTGTTGTTGTTGTTTGATCTCCCAGGCTGGGCTTAAAGCATGTGGCAATCCTTCTGCCTCATCTTCTTAAGCTGGAATTATAGATGTACCACCATACCAAAATGGTTGACAAGAAGCAACATAAGAGGGCAATGGCTTGTTTGGGCTTGTGAATTAAAATGGATATAGCTGTATGGTAAGGGCTGGTGACAGAAGTGTGAGACACCTGGACACACTAATCCAGTGAGGAAGCAGAGAGAGGACCACAAAATGGGGCCAGACTTCAAACCCCAAGGCCCACACCCACCAAGGTTCTATTTCCTGAAGGTTCCACTTCCTTCCAAAAGAGCACCAATTGGTAAGGACTAAACATTGAAATGTATAAGCTACTTTCATACTTTCAGACAACAGCAGTGGCCTTGTTCTTGGGTACTCGTTGGGTATAGTTGATGCAGTGAATAGTCTGTACATGGTCAATCCCCTTTATTTGTCCTCCTTGTAAAAATGTGTCTGTACACTGCTTGAAACCCCTTATTAAACCCTTAGTTCAACAGGATAAAGCCTGAGTTTTTAGTGACATTTAGTGCTTACTACAGTCTCCTCTTACCTGAGTATGTTTGAAGTTTATACAGTTAATGCACTCTGCAGTCCCAGAAGGTACCACATAATCATAGTCTTTATGAATAGTGTGTCCTGGGGTTTTTGCAGTGCAGCACAGACATGATGACTTGACTCTACCATACCTAGAATCTCCCTCTCTAATACTCGCTGCACTAGACTTCCATAAGTAGAATACTCCAGTCACCAAATACAGCCTATTTGTGCCTTCACTGTTTCAGAGTGAATACTGCTTTTTTATTCTGTGCTTCGAAGTCCTTCTCATCATTTAGGACCCATTTTGTTATATCCTTTATGAAGTTTTAACAATTTTTCTGATTTAATTTTTCCTTCTACTTGAACCTTTATCTTGTTTATTTCTTTAGCAGCTCATTCTTTTCTAACACAAAAATACACACAACTCAACCATTGGATGAAGCCTTGCAAATATTTAATTCTTTTGCTAGACAAATCTCTATCAAAATATGATCATGCCTTTTATCTAATATTTAACTAACTTCTTAGGTTGGTTATTTTCTTATATGTCTACCCTCACTAAATTATAAGCTTTAATGAAGGAAAAAGGTAACCTCCATGACTATTTGTCTCCTGAGAAAAAAAGCATCATATATACTATGTGTTCAGCACTGAATCTGTCTTGAATATTATCCTGAATTGGATATAGCTCATCTCTTTTAGAAACTTACAGAACAGTGGTTTCTTCTTCATAAAAGAATTGAAGTTGATCTCCAGACCTGATCTAGCAACTTCAGTGTCAAGGACCTGAGCTGTTTCATTCTTGTTCTACCTTTTCTGGGAGCCTTACCACCACAACATTCCATCCAGCTGAAAATTGAGATAAATGAAAAAGACAGCTTTTTGATAGTTATAGCCAATTGTCCATGTCTAGAATATAGTCCCCTCATCAATACCTACTAAAAACTAGAAGAACTTATAATTTAAGAAAAGAGATGATTGGTCATGAGGTTTGAATTTAAGCATGTTTACCTCAAATAAAAAGTATCTTTCTAGAAAGAAATAATTTTTTTTCAAAAAGCACACCAAAATATAACTGACATGTAACTATACCCAGAGACCTTCCTTTTCCTCTCTGGTCCATGTCACTAATCTAACATATGTTTCCCTTCTTAGTTGAATAAAATGTATTATTACTTACTTATATCAACCAAAACTAATTCCTCAGCATATATTTTTACTTCAGGGAGTAGTATGTGCCCATGTGGAGTTTACTTAGCAGCTCCTCTTAATTCATTTCATGTCTCATTCAATGACTTAGAGTGTTGAAAATGCCACATGATTTATTTGGATATGAAAAAAATATGAGGACATTTTTAATGTAGCACTTAGATTAAAAATAAGAATATACCTTTTTGATGGACTAGATATACTTTTTTTTCAATCAGAGTAAAGAACTGTAGAATAAGAAATTACTTAGAAATCTCAACATCATTTTTGTACTGATGAGAAAGAAACATGGGTCACCAAAGATTTAGTGACCAATAATTAAGGATTAGTCAGTAATAGAACAAAGTGTTAAACCCGATAAGAGTCCCAGTTCAAGGACTCCATCTCATATATAAAATTAACTTATGTATCAAAGAACAAATTTAAACACTAAAATTGCAGAAACACTTCTAAGGAAACAGGTAAAAATTTGCATGTTCTTGATTAGGCAACAGTTCTTTAGATATGGCACCAAAAGAAATTCTAATTAGCAGAAGAAAACTGTTAGGTAGATTAAAATTCATTCAGGTTAAAAATGCCATGTGCCAAAGAACATGTTAAGAAAAAGAATGGAGATTTTTTTTTTTTAATCAGTGATAGTTTCTGCCTGAGATCATTCCTCTCATAAGCAGTCTTTGTTCATCTCCAGAAGAGAAGAGGAAACACAAACAGGAACCCCCAGTGTTCCTCCTCATGTATGTGAAAAACCCAGGATGCTATAAAAGCACCAGGGTCATAAGCTACACACAGTGATCATTTTGTTTGTTGGTTGTTCCACTGTTCTGTGTTAGCTTATAAAGGAAAATAAGGTTTGTAGAAGATGGGCAAAGATAGAATTTGAATAGAAATTCTTTCCAAAGATAAGTGGTCACAAAAAGCACGTGGAAGAATTAAACATAAGGGAAAGAAAAGCCAAAACTGCAATTTGATACTGCTTCATACCCAGTAGGACAACTATAATTTTTAATCAAGCTAAAGTGCCATCCATTTTAAAAAATATATTTTAATTAAAATATAGTTATATCATTAACCCCTTACCTTCCCTCCAATCCCTCCCATGTCCTTTCCCATGTTCCTCCCCTCATTTTCTCTTAAATTGATGGCCTCTTTTTCTTTAATTATTATTGTTAATATATATCTGTGTGTATACACTAATATACAACCTACTAAGTCTATTTTTGTTGTTTGTGTGTTTATGATTTCAAGGCTGATCACTTAGTATTGGATAACTTATGTAGCTGTCACCTCTGAGGTTAATCTTGTAAGGAAACTTGTTAAGGCATAGGCTATAAAAGAAAATAAAGCAATAGGTTATTTAGGACAGATTATTTACAAGGAGTTGAAAGAACAGGATTTCTAAGGGGAGGTTAAACACTCCATCCTGCAAAGAAGCTCCATTATAACAGGAAGTATACAACTCAAAAATAGATACAGGAAGACTCTGAAACTAACCAGATTCTCCAGTACCTCTCTTTCCAAAAGTGTATAAATAGTAGACTGCTTAAGTCACTTTTAGACTAGCCAAGCTTCAAAAAGGACTCTGACAAGCCTAACAGCCTAGAAGAAGCTGGGACCAGCCAAGCAATCTGGAAGAAGAAGCAATCAGCTGTGCTGGGCCATTCACCTATACAAAATGGTGATGACACTGAGTGGTGCATGCAGGCTCCTTTTAAGCAGAGCCAAGGAGCGTTTTGGGGACAGTTATGTTATCTCATCTATGATTGGCCTAAGCAAGTGGCAGTTATATTAGTACATTTCTGAATGGCTAGGGCTACAATTCTTCCATCTTTGGACGTTTGGACAATTCCCAGGATCTGTACCTATTTGATCATTACCTTGAGATACTGCAGGGGACTGGCTCAGTCCCCCTTATCCCTGTTGTTGAATGATTGGTTTTTGTTCATGGCTTTCTTAGAAACTGCTTGTATTGTTTCAGGAAGCTGGAGCTGAGGCCTAGTTTTTCAACCAGGTTATTAGGAACCTGTCATGGTGTTTGCTTGTCTCTCTCACAGACCAGCTAAGTCACCTGGAAGGAACACCTTCCAACCTGTTGAGCTGCCTATAGGCTGTTCAGTATGCTCTAGGTTTCTAGGTTTTTTGAGTTATCACCCATGCCGGGATAGGCTTTGGTGTCATCAAATCATTTCTATTCCTTTAAGTAACCTCTCACCCATATTCCTGTAAGTAGCCACAGTAAAACTCATTGATTTACCAAGTTGAGGAACCTTGATGATATCCATACTTTGGTCTGTTACAGGCTTTCTATTTGGGATGACTAGATGTATGTATTGACTCTCCCCAGTTTCTCAGCAATCATTAATTGCTTGTAATTCTTTGCCTAGGGGTTGTACAACCCCACCACCACCACCCTTGGGAGATTTCCCCCCTTCTACATAAGCATATCTATTGATGCTGTTGTTGTTCAGATCTTAGTTTAGGCAGCCATTTCTAGGAGGTACAGCCTCATAGCAGACCTCCTAGTCATCTGGCTTTTCCGATCTTTCTGTCCCATCTTTCAAGATGTTCTTTGAGCCTTAGGTCCAGGAGTTGTGTTTGTACATAAATTCACCAGGGATCCCCAACCATCTTTTTATCTCTGTATTGTGTGCACTTGTGATTTTCTGTGATGGTCTCCATTTGCTGAAGCTTCTTTGATGAGGGTGGGACCTACACTTAACTGTGGGTATAAGGATAATATTTAGAATGTAGTTAGGAATTACACTGGTCTAGTAAAGTGGTGGTAGGAGGTTCTTTTCTAAGATCCATGACCTCACTAACCTAGGAAAGCTGGTTAGGTTTCTAATACTAATTAGACAATTGTTGGTTAGTTACAATATATGAGTGCCATTATTGCCATGCTGGTCATTGTTGTGGTTCATAGATGTCCTGACGAACTACATTTTTTTAAATGGACTATAAGAAGTGTTGTGAGGATGTAGAAAAATTGGAACCTTTGTGCAGTGTTAGCAGAAATGTAAAATTGCACAGCCATTATGAAAGCAATGTGACAATCCCCAAAAAGTTAAACATAGAATTATCATTTGACCTAGAAATTCTCTTCCACATGGGGCTGGAGCATAATGGCTGCTCATTAGTTAAGAGCACAGACTGCACTTCCAGAGGAACTAGGTTCTATTCCCAGCACCCACATGCTGGCTCACAACCATCTGTAATTCCAACTCCAGGGCATTTGATGCCCTCTTATGGCCTCTGGGCACTGAGCATGTATGTGGTATACAGATTATACATACAGAAAAAAAAAAACACCTTTAAACATAAAATAATACATTTTTAAAAATTTTAATGTATATACAAATGTTCATAGTAGCTTTATTCATAGTAGCCTGAAAGTAGAAAGAATCTGAATATCTAGCAACTGAGGAATGGATAAACAAAATGTTGTATATCCATTTAGTGAATATACAATATTTGGAATATATTCAGCCATATAAAAGAACAAATTTACTGTTATATTCTACAACATGGATGAACCTCAGAAATAATATCTTATATGAAAGAAGCCACACATTAAGACCTTGTGTTGTATATTACATTTTTTTATCTATATGGTAACTATGGGTTAAACTAGGGTCTTCAACATGTTAGATTAGCACTCTACCACTGACCTATATCCCCAGCCTTTATCATTTCATCTATATGCAATGTTTCAAAGAGGCCAATCCATTCAATCAGACCAATTAATTATTTGCTAGGCGAGGGAGAGGTTGGGAATTGATGTTAACTTTTAATATGTTCAGTGTTTCTGTCAAGGATAAAAATTCACACACTTGAACCAGTTGTACCACATAGTAAAATACCCTAGTATGTACTTGAAAATGTTAGATTTTGTTTTATGTGAATTATATTTAAATATAATAATTAAATATTCAATCCCCAGAACCCATGTAGTGGAAAAAGAGAACAGTCTCCTGCAAGTTGTCCTCTAACCTCTATATATGTACTGTGACACCTATGTGTGAACACATGAACACAGACATGCATAAAATAAATGTTTTTAAAATTTCAACTATAATGATTTCCCTCTTGCCCCCCCCCAAAAAAAACAGCCTGTTGTCCTTGAAAAACCAATAGTTGTGTCTCTTTTGTGGCTTTTAGAAAATCCTAAAAGAAAGGTTCTGGGTTGTATTTTTTATAACTGCACAGGAAGAGTCAGAATCATTAAGGAGCTCTCTGCTCAGTGCCAAGGAATATATTAGAGATATTAGACAAACTGAGATGATAAAATCAAACCACCTCCTTCGAGAAAATCATCTGTAGTTCAGAAGCAGCAGGCGAGTTAGGGAACTAGTAGTAGAGCTGAGGCTGAAGGGATGTGAGCTTTCTTTTTTAATGTACAATCCAACAGCAGCGCTCCCTAGATTGTGTTCTAAAATAAGAGCATTTTCACACATTTTAATTGCTCTGTGATAACAACAGTGTGAACTCCATCCACAAACATTTATTATCTATTTAGTTTTGCTCTAATTCAATGTAGCAAGAATTCACCTTATAAGTAGAAGTAACGATCCATTTAGTAAAAAGAAGTCCCTTCCCATGTTACTAATCATGTTGTACATTTCTATATTAAAGTATTAATAATTAAATGCTCTTTTATATTTCTCCATTTTTACCATTTATAGATGATATTTACAGGTTCCTGTTCCCCAAGCAGCATTTTTATGAACTGGACCTTGATTTAGGAACTGATATTAGTAAAGAATATTTTACTTATCACAGATTTCATATTTTATGTCATGATTTCAGGTAAAACTTTTGTTTTTGTAAACCTTGATATCACCTAGTACTATGTTTATAGGGCTCTTTTTAGGAAACATTTTAAAAATGTATATATCTTTAATATCTAAGTTGTTGTGCTATTTTCCAGAGCTGGCATTCATACCATCCTTTATAGTGATGCTACAGGACAAAGAGGAATGGACAAAAACATTGGGGAGCAACTCAATAGAGCATATGAAGCCTTCCGACAAGCATGCATGGATAGAGATTCAGCAGTAAAAGAGCTACAGCAAAAGGTGTGTGGTTTGGGATTTGAAAATTGATTATTTTTCTGGTAAATTGATGATGAGAACTGAGAATGTTAGATTATTGGAAATTATTTGACGAATTATTATTAAAACACAAGAGTGTAATAATGAATGAACATTGAGATTTTTATTTGTTACCTTTTAAAAACATTTTGTGTCCTATGTTAAGGCTGGTTTGATGGGTTCATTTTAAAATGATTATGATTAAGTAAGATAGAACATTGTTTCTCCATATATAACTTTTAAATGTCATTATTACTTTTATATACAAAAAGAATAATTATAAAGTCATTTTAAGACCTTTATCACTGCTTCTCAGTTTTGCATTGTTTCATTGCAGATTTTTAAAAATTGTCTTTGGGTAACAGGAAGACTCAAGTCTTAATGAATCCTGGAACTAAATTTGTCATTAATTTATCATCATCTTCCATTCTTTATGACAATTACAACACAATAGAAGATGTTTTTATAGTGATGTGGCATAAGTTCATAACCAGAGGATATATAGAAAAAGATATGTGAAAGGGTCTAGAGGAATCAGTTCAGTCTTCCCATGTGCTTTCCCTCACTTCGCAAGTTCTGTCTGTCACATGTGTGCAAAGCCTAAGAAATTCCACTTAAGATTCACAGTTATTTGGGTTTTGTTGTTAGTTTTGAATTCAGAGCTGGCTTCATAATACACTGTGTCAACCAAAAGTCCAAACTCAGGGAAAGTAGATCTACCATAAATGTTATTATGCTGCCTAAATAGGCTGACTTCAGCAGTTACAGTCTTAACCACATAGGAAATCCAGTCTCCCAAATATAAAAGGACCAATTTTGCAAGTATGCCTTTATGAAAATAACAGCCAAATGAACTACTAGGAAGAATGTTAGCTTATTCCTCCACTGTCAGTTTGAGGTAGGGATCTTACTTGATTTCTCTGCTTAAAAATTGCCTTGAGGAGCTAGAGAGATGGCTCAGTGGTTTAAAGTACTTGCCATGAAAGCATGAGGGCCAGATTTGATTCCCAGAATCCATGTAGATATTGGGTGGACATAGTGATCTGCCTGTAATTCCAACTCTTGAAAGTCAGATAATCATACTAGACACATTGGCAAGCTCTCGGGTTCAGTTGAAAGACCCTGCCTCAATGAATAAGGTAGAAAGTGACTGAAGAAACTCTTGAACATCTACCTCAAGCCTCCACATATACACATATGGATACTTATGAAGAAAAAATGTTATTCTGTAATTTTGAAGTAAAAAAAAATATGCTAGCCATGAAGTCCTTTGTTCTTTCAATAAATACAGTTTGTCACAAAATTTCTTCCTTTCTAGGTGGTCGGCTACTATTAAACATTTCTATGTATACTTCCCTGAATTCTACAAAAGCCATCTTCATTCTTAGTGAATCTTCTCTCAGTTTGTAAAATACTGTTATTGAGTAACTAAAGACTCTAGATGTCTCATTTTAAGTAGCTAGAAGGAAAGTGAGCATGATATGATAGGGCCTTCAAAAATAGTAAATTAGCAAAAAAGTAAACAGAAACACTCAAATTTTATTCTTCCTACTTTACAATTAGGATCATTAAGAGACTTAACAGTTCTATTTGTGTTCTAGGGTATCTTGGAACTAGGGAAGAAGATGACAAAGTTTTGAGAATACTAAAATTAGTAAAACACTATGTTTTTAAGTTTTAAAAGTTCAAATGGGTAATAAATAGAATGGTTATTTCATATGTAATTTTAAAAACAGAAGAGGTTCACTGGCTATTACCTGACTGAGGGCATTACAGAAAAGATCAAGAAAGTAGTGTGTGGCCCAGAGAAGAGGTATCTAATTCTTCCTTTGTGAGTCAGGTCAGGACAAAATGAGTTAACATGTGGGCTAAGATTAGGATGAGTATAGTAAGGTAGGAGACAGGGATCACACATGTACATGCATGTGTGTCTATGTAAAACAAGCAGTGAGGGAGTGTTTGGTACCTTGCATGTCCTACAAGGTGGTCCTATGACTCCATTAAGAATGATGAGGTATTTTGATAACAGCCACATCATGAGGAAGATGACTAAGTATTGTATCTTTATTCAGTCAAAAGTTACTGAAGAATTAAATGCTTTAGAAAAGTCTTAACACTGACAAAGAGCTCAGCAAACATTGAAGACATATTACATACGTTCTAAGTGCAAGTTATATAAAAATATGGCAATCATCTAGTCATGCTTTATAAATTCCAGTATGTGCATTAATGTAAAATTCATATATTAATAACTGTGTAATGTACTAAGCCTTTACTAGCATATATTGGATGGTAAGTTTGTACATTTATTGTACCTTGGTTTAGCAATGAATAGCAATCATTCTAAGAATTCAAAACAAAGGCCTGAATTAGCAGTTATGGATAAATTTAAAAAATACCTCCTGCCTCTGCCTCCCAAGTTGTGGGATTAAAAGCGTATGCCACTACCACCACTGGCAACCTAAAATTTGTTTAGGAGATAAAATGGAAAGCAGGTGGCACCTAAATGTGGGTCACTTATAATGGCAATAAACTCTAAAATGTCTAGTTTGATGCTGATGACTAAAATCAAGAATGATAAAGAAAGTAGAGTTTAGTTATGGGAAAATAAGGTATATCATTCAGTTCTGATGTATAGATTTAGACCTGTGGAACATATGGTTGAACTATCCGATGGGTAGACCTACAAGGAGTTCTGTGTTGGAGACTATGGTGGTTTGAATAAGAATGGCCCCAACAAGCTCATATATTTGAATGTTTAGTCACCAGGGAGTGGCACTATTTGAAAGTATTAGAAGGATTAAAGGGGTGGCCTTGCTGGAGGAAATGTGTGGGGGAAGATGAAGTCTTAAAAGCCCATGCCAAGCCCAGAGTCAGTCAGTCAGTCTCTCTCTCTCTCTCTCTCTCTCTCTCTCTCTCTCTCTCTCTCTCTCTCTCTCTCTCCCCCCCCCCCCCCCCCCCCCCCCCCCCCCCCCCCCCCCCCCCCCCCCCCCGCCTCTCTCTTTCTCTCTGCCTGTATATCAGTATATAGTTCTCAGCTACTTCTCCAGTACCCGCCTGCATGCTGTCATGCTTCCTGCAGTGATGATAATGGACTAAACCTCTCAAACTGTAAGCTAGCCCCTAGTTAAATGCTTTCTCTTATAATAGTTGCCTTGGTCATGGTGTCTCTTCATAGTAATACAACAGAGACTATAGCTAGAATAAGATTGTGTAGTTTTAAAGGTATTTCTAAGAATGTATAGCTTGAAGGGATATTTAAAGAACAGAAGTAGGTTAGGGTGAAAGGAAGAGAAGTGAGACTCGAGAATTAGAATGTAGTTTAAGCAATTTGAGAAACACGGGGACCCATTGAACACCATGATTTTAAAGAAGAAACATAAAATGGGGCTCATTAAAGAGACTTAAGAACAACAAAAATAGTCTACAAAGAACAGAACAAATTAGAGAAGAAAATGTAATAAAGGGGTCTCAGGAAGGGTGCAGTAGTTAGTACAACTAGGAAGCCAAGAGACCTTGTAAGGGTATAGCAGAAGGTGGCATTATGTTTGGCTATGTGTAGAGGTTTTGAAATTATAGGGCTGTTAGTGGAGAGGGGAACATAGTAAACTGAGAACTGGGGAATGAAAGAAAAAGACATAAAACTACATGATGCAAATGTTTGTGAAGGCTAGAGAAGTGTTTTCTGTTTTGTTTTTGTTTTTAGGATGAGTGAAATGAAGAGTTTGAATGAGGCTGGTAAAATAATTGCTGTCCTATGTTCAGTTCCTTGTACAACAGTCTGCATAATCCTTTGAAAAAGATTGTTTAATTTGTATTTGTTATACTCCACCTCAAAAATTTGCAATTATTTCTATAAATTCAAAAGCCCTCACTGTTGCCTGTCAGTACAGAGACACATTTAGCCCCTAATAGATACTTTTTCTCTTGCCACTGTATTTCCTAACAGTCTTCCTACCACACGTTTTCTGAAAATTTTCAAATCATATTCTTTCCTTAGGGCCTTTACATTTGTTATTCCTAAGGTGGTTTTCCTTTAGGTGGTGCCATGGTTTCCTTCCTTACTGATTTCAGGTCTCCCTTCAGATGCCACGTCCTCAAGGGATTTCTGGATCATCTTAAATTTAAAAGTAGCCTCCACCTCTCTTCAGGTTCTGCTTGCTTATCTTTTTCAGGAAGCATGCATTACTTTCACATTATATCGAGGTGTTTTTGTGTGATGATTTTGTTGCTCTTGTTATTTTTACTTTCTGTCTACTAACAGAGCGAAGTCCCTGTGAGTTATAAAAGGCATGAGGCTTTGTCTTATTAGTACCGAGTCTAGCATACAGGACATCAGATATTTAAAGTACAAGAATGAAGGTAAGAGGAAGGCAGCCAGTTGGTTTGTTTTGGAAATGGAGAGCTTAGGCTAGAAACCAACCAGGAATAGGAAACAGATGTTCTCTGAGGACTGAATGGGGACACACACACACACACACACACACACACACACACACACACACACACACACACACACGAAGATAAATGTGGGTGTCAGAGGAAGTGGTAGAGAAAAGAGATTGTCTATAAGAGTGTTTTTTTTTTTCTGTGACAGCTACTAGATAAGGTGATCTGAGAGAAATAAATAAGAAAAAATGTTACATTCAAATTATTTTGAGTTTTTCGTAATAACAGTTTATATATTTGCTGATTGTTTTTTAGCAGCTGTAGATAAGATCCAGAGTTAAGTAGTGTGCTTATACATGCTAATTCATGATCGAGATTAAAAGAAGTGTAAATTATGTACTCTGAGACATGAGCTAAAACTACAAAGCAGCTACTAAGAACAAGAAGGCAGTTGATGGCTGAGGTTATTTGTAAGAGTGGAAAGACTGTATTACCAGTTTAACACATATTGATGGTTAGGATCTCCTGTCGTCTCAAGTCATAAAAGTAGATGGCTAGTACGGGTTGAGGAAGTAGAACATTTCCTAAAGTGTTGG